ATGTTGACTGACAAGGAGAAAGATTCAATTAACGACATCTTACTCAGCTAAAAATGCTTGCAGCAAGGAGACAGCCTGCTTTGAAAATTCCTTCGCATACTGTTTTGTTAAGTAGTGCGATGATTCTTCGAGCACTGAACATTCTTCGCGACATATTCTAAACGAGAGCAGCCTTCAACCTGCAGCATTAACAACAAAACAAAACCTTTCAGTGATTTTCAAACTATCCGCTTTCCTATATTGCTCTAATGCATGCTTGAAGATAGAAGCGACAAGCTGGGATCGAGTACTTCCACTACTTCCAGAAACGAGTGTTTGCAGTAAAGCTGCCTTCTGCGAACTTTCACTGGCCAAAATTTCCTCGAGCAATCGATTCTGCAGATTTATACATATTTCAATTGAGAAGGGAAGCGTGAAGAATACCTGTAAATCCGATCTAAGAAGGCTGTGATTAGACAGAGTGATGTAGGCATTTTGAAGGTATTCGATGATATCAGCGTTAGAAAGGTTTTGAACCTAAATAGACAATGAGATAAATCTCTACTTGGGACTTCGAGGTTGTCTTTCAACTGGATAGTACCTTCTTGAAGACGCTGGAGATACTTTCATTACAGTGAGAGACATCCCTGACACTGGAGACTATGCGGAAAAGAAACTTGATTCGCTTGGTTATCTACAGGTAAAATCTGTTGGACTATAATTCTACTAGAACGATTATAAAGAAGACTCCTACTTCAACTATTTCAGATACAATTTGCGACTGAACAGCTGATTGCTGATCTAGCATAGCAGGAACTTGTTCAAGTATGCTTTCCAACCAGTTCCCAGCTACAGACTCATCGTTTAACGCTGCAAGATTGATGGGAACAAAAATAAAGAGAAAGAGTAGTTTACTTACATTCTTCAGGAGAAGCTATCGGAACAGCTTTTGCACCAGTGGCTGCTTCTTTGGCTCTATTCTCCATTTGTTCCGCCACTATACTTAACATCTCGTCCAATGCGTTCCACAATGAAGACGGCAATTTGCTGTGTCTAGCTAAGGTGAAGTTGATCCATACAGAAATTAATTCTAGGGACTTCACAATTCGCATCAAATGATTACGATTTTTCGACGCCTAGGTTGACCGATGTTGAAACAAGCATGGGAGGCAGAACTGTGCACATGCGTGCTAGTAAGATGAAAGCACCTATACCTTTCCCAATAGTTTCGCGATAGAGTTAAATAGGTGTCCCAGTGTCGATGGACTAGAAGACAAAGAAAGAGCAAACGATCGTACCACATTTTCAAGAAGAGAGCAACTCAATTCCATGTCAAAACTAGATGTTGAAAGTGCACTGAAAATAAAGTCTGGATGGATCAACAGCTTCTCATATTCTCAAACCAACCTGTTAACGCAAGCCAGAGCTGCAGCCGTAAATGGGGTTGGAATGTGTGGACAGTAGGAATCAATATTGATCCAGTCAGTTTGCAGTATGATATGGACTTTATCCGCATTTTGTAGTACTAGTGAATCTCTAAAAATATCAACTGAGATCCAAAACAAAGATTTACTCATAACAAAAAGTTTTAAACGTGCACAGTTAGATCCCGATCTTCACAAAACTGTTCTTCACATAAGGAAAGTGCATCCAAAGGCCAAAGCAATTCCAAAGTCCGACTGAGCATCCCAGAACTCAACAAAACTGCGCGGTTATTGCGAAGGAAAAGTACCTTGAAAACAAAATCAACCGAATAGGATTAAAAATGAGAATTGAATTCACTTCTGCATTCTTATTTTCTGGAACGGCATTTGGAGGCAGAATCTCGGAAGGTGCTTTCCATGTCTTCATGTTTGCTGCTGTCATGCATCGTTCAACAAAATGAGGCGAAATTCGTCGATTTTCTGCCAGACAACAAAGAATTTCAGCAAACTCTTCAGGATTGAATGTTTCCTTGGGAACAACTGCGAGTTTCTCAATAAGTAGGCGACATATAGAAGTGTACTGGGCAGCATCATTCAAAGAACCTAAACCATTTTGAGACATAATTCGGCGAAAAACAAATATAGCAATTGGAAGATTTACAAAGTTCTACAAAGACTAACTCAGTGGAAAAAAA